ATTCAAAAATTGAAGCCGTGATTGCAGTCTCAGGTCGTTCCCATGAAATGAGAAGATTCGTATGTTTTCTATTTCTTAAACCGGGAACATAAACATCAAGCTAACCCTATTCCAAATACGTTTTTAAACTATTCAAAAGACGAAAGTTATTGTTGTTTTTAAGTGTTTATTAGCAAGTGGGAACGACCAACATGGCCGCCATCTATTCAAATGGGGGTAACCGCTGGAATATTCTTGGCTTCAATTTTACTAAAAGAGATGCGCTATCTAGTGTATATAAGATATCTATAGTCGTTAGCTTCTCAAAACATAGTTAGAAATGGCGCTTGCATAGGAGTGAACCAAACTTTTCAGTGAAACAATAATGAACTCGTACCTTCCAGTGGATGTTTTCTGATAACTCCTCAAACGCTAACGCTTTCATTTTTTGGCGTTTTAGGACCGATTATGCATGCGTCAATTCCAGGAGTAACCATCCCTCCCCCGGGAACACACCCGGACATTTGATTTGATTGGTTATGATAGTGTAAATGCCCGGGTGCCGGAACACAACTTGAAGACTAATGCACGGCCCCTGGGCAAGCCGAGAGTGGAAAATGCCCCACCCCGGGGACGATTTTACAGTCGATTTCACAAAACTTTGACCACAAATGTTCCGAACTTCGTTGCGAAGTTCGCAAGTTCGTTGCGAAGTTCGGAAGCTCATATTGCAATTTACAAGCCAATTTCTAAACAAAGTCCCGGATTGGTCCGTGAAGTAAAATAAGCCAATCAAATGCGTAGTTTACGAACTGGTTTGTGAATCTCATGATGGACTTTTGAACTTCGCAACAATCTTGTGAACTTCGCAACGAAGTTCGGAAAATTTGTGGTCAAAGTTTCGTGAAATCGACTGTAAACGTTAATTCAACTTTTAATGGCATATAATCATAGTCATTTAATAACATTATAGTATTAAACTGTTATGGAATATTATAAAACATAAACCTTTAATAGTTGTATTTAAATTTGCATGGCACAGGGTATAATTTTCGCTTATTCTTACAATAAATTTCACGCCACCTTGACCACGAGGGCAGACGAGGTCGCAAAATACGATCAGCGCGCCCACGTGCGTGCCTGAAACTAGGTTTTGCTGCCTTAAAATTTGTGGTTGGGATTTTGGTCAACCACTTGTCAAATCCCCGGGGGTCCTCCAATACCCGGCCCCCGTGCACATATATGAAAGGCAAATTCCCGACCCCCGTGAACTGTCTATCGGGCAAATTCCCAGGGGTGTCCCGGGGGGGGGGGATGGTTACTCCAGAAATTGACTCATGCATTACACAAGAAAACACATATATAATTGCCAAACAGCTACACTTTGATTTAACTTAGACATCTTACGGAAAAACTGCCTTTCCTTGTTTGTTTTTTCCTTATATTGAATAAAATTCCCGCCATTTGTAAAATATGAGTCCACAATCATGTTACAAATGCTTGTCAGCATTCGTTAATCATTGGTTACGTTTTGTAATTTTGTGTTTAAAGGCCCCACGACAGTTAACTACGTGATTAGTTAACTATCCGACTAACTACGCAGTTAAGTCATGTAGTTAACTACAGTTAAGGATTTAACTATAAATTAACGCGGACTGCATGCAATTAACTTTAACTACTTTTTTATACAACCGGCGCCTGATTTGTATACTATCTTCATAATTAAGAATTATTGGATGAGGCTGAGCAGGATATCTGAATTATTATTTTGCCATATTGGGCGAAGATGAATCCAGTAAGAGTTTTATTATATAAAACAAAACAATTCTATAACAAAAAATTGTCAATAAGCGATAAAATTAAATAATACATATATCGGCGGCGAATTTGCTTAAAGTGCCTATGACACGAAATTTCACCCCAAATGTTTATGGTTGCATTGTAAAGATCACTTAAAATGACTTAATAATTACTTTTATAGGAATTTGGTAACTTGCCCCCTTTTCAAGATATTCAACTTTGTTTCATATGCAAATATCACTGGTGTGACATATCACATAATGAGTTTTCAGAAAAGTATAGTTTTCTTGATAAATACGTATCTAAAAGACTTAAAAATTGCCCTTGTATATGTATTAATTTCATAACTGGTAATTAACCCTCTGTATTTGTTTGTAAAAATAGTTTATCAAGGTAAAATATTGCGTTTTCAAAATGTCATTATGCGATGTGATGTCACACCGGTGATATTTGCATATGAAACAAAGTTGAATATCTTGCAAAGGAAGCAAGTTACCAAAATTCTATAAACGACATTATTAAGTCATTTTAAGTGATCTTTACGATGCAACTATAAACATTTGGGGGTGAGATTTCGTGTCATAGGCACTTTAAATAACCAAACAAAAAGTTAATAAACTTGTTTTTACAAATATGTGTGCATAAATAAACTCAATTTTCCATGTATGTTTGACCTAATTTTAACAGGAATTTTGGCTTAATTTTAACGAAAAAAATAATATTACTAACTTCGAGGATGTTGCAAACAAATGAATTTCTGGAAGACAAGTTTTCCAGAGCTTTTATAATCTTAAACAAAACTGGTAGAAAAAACTGTATTAATGTCCCAAATTCCTTTCATTATTCTGCCATATCACTTGTCGTATGTTTGAAATTGACAAAACATCTGAAAAGGGTTGAGAAACCATGCATGAAAAATGCCACGATTCGCAACTGTCCAATTGGTTCCTGTCCAATATCGTTAAATATTGCATCGGCACGTGACCCTCTCAACGATTACTGATTGGTTACGTGCGCGTGAGTGCATAATAAATATAGTTGTCACTACTTCACTTATAAACTTTCACAACATTTTGTTTATAGATTCAGCAGAACCTTTGAAAGAAACAAATCACATGCCCAGTTTGATGTCAGATGATGACCTGAGGGACCTAATTACAGAGGCAACTGGCGGATTTATCATTGTTGTTGAGTGTGATCGTGGTCAGGTGCTGTATGTTACCGATTCAGTTCAAGAAATATTAAATATTTCACAGGTATTGACATACTTTGGTTACCGCGGATATAAGCGAATCTGCAATCTATGAGTATGAGTATGAGTATGAGTATGAAAAATTTTATTTTAGTAGGGTAAACCTTTCAGTGTTACAAGTAATGCTGTTATCAACAGGTGCCCTATATTAAAGCAATCAAGAATAGCTATCTTTTGACTATGTGAAGAGCTGCAAATTTTATTTGCAGATGGCCAGGAGGAATCTGACAGCATCTCAATAAAAAATACAGCTATAAAACAGCCACAGATTTATAATTTCCCCTGAAAATTTCTGTTTTTGTTAGATAAAAAGAGACGTAAATATGAGATGAAGCGAACTAAAAACGTACTTGTCGACGCTGTTTATTAATTTTATTGTTTACGAAATACCTCATATTTTTCTTGAAATACTATCCAAACCGTGTTAGTATTCTATAAAAAAGTGCTTTATAGTAGTTTCACTATCAATCAAGTCAACCAAGAGTAAATGTTTTACAATTGTTTTTTTTTGCAAATGTGTCGGACTTTGTACTTTGCCCTCGCGTGACCTTTTTTCCCATTTTTGTTGCATGCCATATATGGCATGCAACTATCAAATAGCTTAAAATTCGTGTCCGTTGGTGAAACTTGCGGCAGATCACGTTGGACGAGCATAATAATTTTTGAATCATGTGCACGTTTTGGTCTATGCATGGTTTTCGTCGAGCAATGCAAAGAAAATGTTGATTGTTCGCCGTTACATAATCGAACGCCTTCGAAAAATAGATCGAGGTAGGTAACTTTGCTGTTTTTAATTTACTTTATATTCTGTTATTTTGTTGTAATTTTGCCATTTTGAAAATGACCGCGCCCTGAAATGGCAGTGTCGACATAGCTCTAACTTCCGAAGAGGAAAAGCAATAGCCTTTCTGAAGTGCTTATAGTGTTGAGAAGGGTTTGTTTTAGGGGTGGTCATTGGAAGGAAAAATTTGTCTAAGTATAATATTTTACAAGAAAATGACTATGCACCACCCCAGGTAAATTGCTAATTATGCACAAAATAACCAATATGCCTGACAGAAATTAAATTTTCTTATTTCCTAAAATAAATTATCACGGGGTGAAAAACTATGCTCAATTTAATATAATTATTGTGGATTTCATAAGGATTGTCATTATTATCATTAAATATAATACATGTTATTTCACTTACCCCCCACGAAAACACGATTTCAGCCATATTTTGCCGTCTTGTTTGTTTTTTATCGCCGAATCTGGCAAATATCATCCAGTTGTTGTACTTTCACGTAATCATGAATGGCTGAAGAAGATTTCAAAGAAGGTTTCATCAAATTTGGAAACAGTGCAGTGTATTTTATCTTCGATGTAGTGTCCTTCGATATTTCGTGAAATATGGCGCCATTGCAATGGCGCGCCGCTTCTCTGGCCGATAAATGCCACTTCTTCGTCTTCCTATGTATTTAGATTACAGTATCCAGCAGTAATTCATTGTAGAATAGTCCCAATCCAAAAATTGAAAACATTAGTTGTACTTGGAAGGCGAAAACCTCCCAATAGAGTTGTCCCGTCAGAATTCAAAAGAAGTAATTTAAAAGTCACGCGCAAGTTCGTGAAAACTCCTCGTGGGCTACATGACGGGGGGTGTGTGAATATTTTCACGAAATGTTTGTTCGCCAGCACAGAAACCTAACTAAATACACTATATTTATTGAATGTTTATGATTGATGATAAAAACAATAAATATTTGCGTATTTTTGTCATCAAACATAAACATTCAATAAATATAGTGTATTTAGTTTAAATTTGTTAGGTTTCTGTGGTGGCGAACAAACGTTTCGTGAAAATATTCACCCCCTGTCATGTAGCCCACGAGGAGTTTTCACGAACATGCGCGTGACTTTTAAATTACTTCTTTTAAATTCTGACAAGACAACTGTATTGAGAGGTTTTCTCCTTTCCAATACAGCTAATGTTTTCAATTTTTCGATTGGGACTATTCTACAATGAATTACTTCTGGATACTGTAATCTAAATACATAGGAAGACGAAGAAGTGGCATTTATCGGCCAGAGAAGCGGCGCGCCATTGCAATGGCGCCATATTTCATGAAATATCGAAGGACACTGTATCGAAGATAAAATACACTGCACTGTTTCCAAATTTGACGAACCCTTCTTTGAAATCTTCTTCAGCCATTCATGATTATGTAAAAGTACAACAACGGGATGATATTTGCCAGATTCGGCGATACAAAGCAAACAAGACTGCAAAATATGGCTGAAATCGGCATATGGCAAAATATGGCTGAAAGTGCTTTCGTGGAGTGTAAGTGAAACAAAATGTATTATATTTAATGATAATAATGACAATCCTTATGAAATCCACAATAATTATATTAAATTGAGCATAGTTTTTCACCCCATGATAATTTTTTTTAGGAAATAAGAAAATTTAATTTCTGCCAGGCATATTAGTTATTTTGTGCATAATTAGCAATTTACCTGGGGTGGTGCATGGTCATTTTCTGGTAAAATATTATACTTAGACAAATTTTTCCTTCCAATGTTCACCCCTAAAAGCAACCCTTCTAAACACTATAAGCACTTCAGAAAGGCTGTCGCTTTTGCTTTTCGGAAGTTAGACCTATGTCGGCACTACCGTTTCAGGGCGGGGTCATTTTCAGGACTTTCGTCCCGGATTCAGGTTTTGGCACATATGCCATGTTGACCGCCATGGTCATTTTACCCTAAAACAGTTGAGATTACCTGTCCTAAATGAAACGCATACAAACTCATATACAGGTCCTAGACTACAAACAAAATTCTCAATACTATTGAAATTTAATACAACGCAATAGCGATATTAAACTTCAATCATAGTTTAATTATTTTCAATCTATTATCGTAATTCACCTTTTCCACCGGTTTTTATACCTTCAAAAAGTTGCAATGACGCTAATTTTGTAGGAAATAACATTTAGTTATAAATTTGTAAAGGAAATCTTGATAAAATCTTGACCCAAGCTCGCAAGCCAAGCGCCGTGCGGAAGTAAAGACCCTGTCTTGCGAGGTTGACCTTGACCTTGTTATTACCGTCGCTTGCAACTAACGATGAACGGTCGTTAATTAAAGCATTGCCTACTCGCGTGAGAATTTTAAGTTTACTTGTTTTGACATAATAGCTATTTTTCAGTAAATATCTTGATGTTAAACTTATTGAATCAATATTTTAAGTTTCAGGCCAGTTGTACCAAAAGTTATTAGCACTAGCGCATCATAAGGTTTCAGATGGCATGCAACGTGTACGCATTGCGTACCTATTTTTTACAAACGTACAATGCCATATAATAAAAATCTTACTCACCTCAACCGTTCGAGCAATAAGTATAGGTTATTTTGAGGCAACGAGGGGATATGTGATTTATTCACCGAGGCGCGAGGTGAATAAACACATATCCCCGAGGTGCCTCAAAATAACGTACTTATTTTTCACACTGCGAGGTCGCGTTAATGAGTCAGAAAAGAAATAATTCTTAATGCCATATTGCCTTCGCGATGTTGTTGTTTCTCATTTTTTGTGCTGCAAAGACATTGCAGGTGAATATTAGAGGGGATTATTAATTGCAGGTGAATATTAGAGGGGATTATTAAACGGAAATTGATTAGAGGGGAATATTGAATATATTCCCCGACAAGAACAAAGGAAACCGAGCAGGGTGAAAAATAAGGAAAAATATTCAACCTCGGTCTTGCTGTATTGACCTCGCTATCGCTCGGTCAATACAGCAAGTCCTCGGTTGGATATTTTCCCGTACTGCCCTCACTCTCGATCAGTAAGTTATTATTATTATATACCGGATATAAGCTATTCTGCAATCTGATTGGTGAGAGATACTAGCAGGATATTTATCATTTATAGACCCCGAGCGAGGGGGATTCGGCGTAATATTTCCCGAAGTGATGATATTTTCCGAGGG